GCTCACCCTGTGGTCTGTGTGGGTCCTAACACCCCAGTATAGTGACGGGGACACTATACTGTAAAAAAAAAAAAACACCGTCCTTCGGATGAGACGTTAAACCGAGGTCCTGACTCTCTGGTCACTAAAAATCCCATGGCACTTTTTGTAAAGAGTAGGGGTGTAACCCCGGTGTCCTGGCCAAATTCCCTCCACTGGCCCTTGTCTGTCATGACCTCCTAATAATCCCCATCCACTGAATTGGCTCTATCTCTCTCTCTCTCTCCTTTCCGCCTGTAGCTGGTGTGTGGTGAGCGCACTGGCGCCGTTGTCCTGTGGCTGCCGTCGCATCATCAAAGTGGATGCTGCACACTGGTGGTGGTTGAGGAGAGACCCCCCCACATGATTGTAAAGCACTTTGGGTGTACAGCAATACACAAGAAAGCGCTATATAAATGCCTCATTCATTCATTCATTCATTCCTTCATTCATTCATTCATTACATTTTTTTTCAGCCTAGACCTGTTTTATTTCTTATTGAGACCTATAGTTACCTTTATCAGTGTGACTGCAAGAGAGGTTTATATTGATATTCTATATACACTGCCCTCTACAGCCTGGTGGAAGCAGGACACGTTAGAAAAGTCTCAAACTTTGCAATAGCCTACTGTGATTGAGGGATTTAAGACATTAAGTGTAACAATGTCTAGCCAGTTTCTATATACTTCTACTCAAACCTGAAATACTGTCGAAATTAAATTTATGTCTGGCAGAAGGGTGGTGGCAACTACTTGTATTGGAATTATTTGTTTATCAATAGGGACACAATGAACAACCTTTACTTCCAATATATTTACATTTACATTTAGTCATTTAGCAGATGCTTTTATCCAAAGCGACTTACAAATGAGGACAATGGAAGCAATCAAAATCAACAAAAGAGCAATGATATACAAGTGCTATAACAAGTCTCAGTTAGCTTAATGCAGTACACGTAGCAAAGGTTTTTAAAATAATATAATAAATAAAAAGAAAACGAATAGAGCAAGCTAGTGTTAGAGGTCTTTTTTGCTTTTGTTAATTGTATAATAAATGAAAAGAAAACCGATAGAATACAAAAAGATTAGAAAGCGAGTGTTTTTTTTTTTTTAATAAAACAAGCAGCAAATGAATAGAGTGCAAGTCTAAAAGGGACAAATGTTTTTTTTTTTAAGAATAGAATTATAATAGAGAATGCTAGAGTTAGAGGGTCAAATAAAGATGGAAGAGATGTGTTTTTAGCCGATAAAATATATGTATATATACATATAAATATATGTCTGAGTTTCACTAAGTACACAATGTAGTCTATCATTTGCCAAAGTTTTATCAGAAAAATGGTTTTGTTTGTTTTAATGCTTCAACAAGTCTTGTAAAGAATGGCACATGAATCAAAGCAGTTGAGTTGGTAATTTAGATTTTTCCCACTAACTCGAATATTTTGATTCATTCAGTGATTTCTTTAGTGCCTTTCTTTGTTACCTTAGGTAAATTCGCAAAATTGAGTAATTGAATAATTCATTAAATCCGAGTCTTTCACGATTAAAAGATCTCATACTCTTTTTTTTATTATGTACGTCTTCACAACTAAGATGCTTCCAAAGTTTGTTAGGTGTTAGTGGGTTTGTGAGCTGGTTTTATTTATGGAAGTAAAATAATGACAAATGTCTTTGAAACAAAACAAAAAAAAAGCATGTAAATTGCACTAACTAAAAAAGTAAATAAATACTGCATTGCATTAACAGTGCTTGCATTTTTATGCCTTGTATTTTCAGGGTTTGCATTTTTAGGGGCTTAAAATGAACTGTTGCGTTCTTCTGACCTCATCTGCTTGCCTGTATATAGTTTGCATCATCAGTAAGGTGTATACTGAGATCTGAGGTCTTGTTTATGTCACTGTACTAGTTCATTGAGGCAGGTTAAGCATTGTTGGGGAATCCTGGAGTGTGATGTCAGAGGGAAACCCCAGTATTACAACTCAGCATCACACAAGCCATGATTTA